GTAATCTTATTCAAATAATATATATATATTAATTTTTAATTATATTATATAAATAAATAGGGTGACTTATTAGGTCTAACATGTTTTTTATAAACCTAAATTTAGTCATTTTATATAAATAGACTTTTTTAAAAGTGTAACCTTTTTATTAAATAGGTTGAATCAGATCATAAGTCCCCATTTAAAATTTAATCTATTCCCCTCCCTACTGGCTGGTCTGGTCCGATATGAAAATCTGGTTGAAATTATTAAATATAGTAGTGTTGAACTTGACTGTTTGAGAGGAAAAAAATAGAAACAGGACCCATTTGTATTTATCTTTTTTTGTCAATTCCATTTTTCTAATTCCATCTTCACATGAAATTAATCATTTGGTCTTTTTTCTTACTCAGGTGGTGCAACAGGATCTGGGGCTAGCTTCGGACCTGGATCGGTAAATAAATTTTATACTTGCTGGCTCGATTGTGGATTATTTCTGTTAGCTAATTAAAACAATCCGAGTATATTATGCCTTGTCAGTCTTGATAGAATAAAGCATCATGATCCGTTAATTTTGTGCTTTCTTTATGCCTATGATCGCATCTGCTGAGCTTTCTTTCTGATTTTCTTGCAGAAGAATCCGCGGGCGAAATCCAGAACTGCTCGACGCTAATAAATGTGATCTCAAGCATAAAGTTGATTGGAACCCTTTTTGCTGCCTAACAAATATTCAATGTTCTGCTTGAAATATTGGTTTTTCCTTATTTTAGACGGTATTAAATGGATTTTGCACTGAATCTGATGAGTTTCGGAATGTAGATGCCGCATTGAGGGCACTGGTACATATCGATATTTGGATTCTGCCTCGTTTCAATCCATTGTGTTCTTCCATTAGGCATTTTCTGTCAGTTACTGTTGATCCATTTTCTTTAACATTGTAGATTAATATAGGTTAGATCATTATCGGTGCTAATTTTTCGTGAATTCTAGCTAGTCTGCGTAGCTTTTCTCATGATACATAGTAGCTTTGCTTTTTTTTTTTTTTTTTTCTTGGTTCATTGAGTTTGATACATACCTCAGTGTTGTAAAAGATACCTACTGATACATTTCTCATGATACATTTTACTGATATATTTTACTGAAATCTTTTATATGCTCCATGCTGCTATTCCACCATCCCATTTCTTGAGGTTGGTTATTCAGCGCGGCAATATGAAATTGACCAAAAAATCTAATTCTCCAAAAATATAGAAGAAAAATAATAAAGAAAAATGAAATAATTTTTTCATAAATTAGAAGTAATTTTTTTATCAGAAAGCTAAAAGTAATTTATACATAAATTAATATGTATTTAGAAAAGTTAATATGAGAATTGTTACAGATTAGTTTCTGTATAAATTAATTTTAGTTTATAGATAAATTTTATTTTGTTCTTATTTCCTTCTCATACTTTTAATCAGAGTATATTTTTAATATTTGGAGAAATTTGTGTAAATAGTATATTATGATGTTAATCAGAGTCAGAGTGGTTACTCTTTCTTTTCTTTTTTTATTAGCAGGTATAGATGCTTAAATTATGTTTTGTTTTACAAATTTTTATCTCAAGTAAATTTGGAATAAATTTAAGATCAAAATTTGTAATTAAATGTGAAGATTAAATATTTTCACCTTCACTCAAATTGCTTTTAACTTCGAACTTAACTAATGCATTCAATCATACTTTTAAAAATTTGTTTTTATTCCTTGAACACATATTTAGACTTCACTCGTAGTTTGGAGAGTATAAACACTCTTGTTAATTTCTATATACCTGTTCCATGTTAGAAGTACCGTTTGTACAAATAAGAATCTCCGTTTGAGTTTTTTCATAAAGATAAATAAGAACTTTGGAGCAATTACTTAGAAATATATTTGTTTTGAAAGAGCCCTTCCCATATGATAGATAGAAAAGGATCCCGTGTAACAAAGAAAAATGACAGTAAACATAGAACTAGTTTATTTAAATTTTTAAAAAATAATTTATTAAAAAGCCGATAGAAATTTCTTTTTAAAAAGAGAGTATTGTTAACAAGTGTTCTAAAGACATTGGTTAAGAAATTAGTATGTAAAAAATTCATTGAAAATTTACATTAGTTAAATACATTGAAAATTTACATGTAAACAATGCCTAAAGACACTCGATAACATTTTTTCCTTATTGTTTCGGTGTATTTAACAAATATTTTGACATAGAGAAGAATATAGTAGAACTTCCTGAATGCAAAAAGATGGAAAATTTTGGATCTATTATTCCTGTCGATAGTAATTTAATCCTGTGCATACTTCACTTTTGTATTTGAATTAAATTCCACCTATAGAGTATAAGCTTAGTCTCTGCAACTTATGCAGCATGCATATTGTGACTCGCTGAGCCGCTGTCATCATTTTTTGTTCTAATCATATTTTGTTTTAGTCTATGCAGTTCAGCTTGCACCTCGTCAGCCTTGGGGTGTGATTGATCTCCAGAAGAGAACACATGAATGTCATTCTTGGCCTCAATCCAACTTAACCCTGGATCTTTCTCTAGCATCATTCCCCTCATATTTTTTCTTATTTCTGCAACTTTGTCCCATCTCCTTGCAGCAGCATAAAGATTAGAAAGCAAAACAAGCGTTGGACCATCTTCTGCATTCAATCTCAAAACTTCCTCTGCTGCATGAATTCCCAATTTAAAATTTTTATTTATAACACAGGCACTTAACAAAGTTCTCCATAGTTCTAGATTATCTTCAATATAAGGGGATCTATTGATAATTTCTTCTGCCTCTTCTAGTAATGCTGCCCGACTCAACAAAGTTACCATGCAAGAGTAGTGCTTAGGCCCAGGAATCAAGCCAATGCTGTTCATATAATTCCAGAGGAACTTTCCTTGCTCAACCAACCTGCTGTGACTGCAAGCAGACAATAGAGACAAGAATGTCACTTGATCTGGAACCAAACCATGTTTGAGAATCTCCTCAAAAAGTTTGAATGCCTCCTCCACCATTCCATGGTGACTATATCCTCCAAGCACCGAATTCCAACACTTCAAATCTGGGTCTGAAACTTGAGAAAATACCAAATATGCAGCTTCAAGGCTACCATTTTTTGCATACATATCAATTAGACTCCCAGAAACAGACATTTCAACATCATAACTCAATTTAACAGCATAACAATGAATTATTTCACCTTGTCTTAAAATTGCAAGGTCAGCACATGCACTCAAAACTCCACTGAGAACATAGTCATCAACCTCATGGGCTTCACAAACCATTTCAAAAAAGCATCTAATTGCACTTATTCCATCAGTCATTTTAGAGTAACCAGTGATCATTTCAGTCCAGAGAACAACATCCTTCACTGAGATTGAATAAAAAACTCCCCGAGCAGCTTCACTTTCCTGATTTTTGAAATACATAGACACCAGAGTGCTTCCTACAAACACACTTCTCTCAAATCCAGTTTTAATTACTTCAGCATGAAGAGGTTTTCCATAACTGGAAGATGGGAATGCACCAGTTGCAGATATAATGCCAGCATAAGTATAGTCATCTGGTTTAGGAAAACACATTTCCCGTAACTGGACAAACAAATTCATGGCCTTCTCTCCATCCTCATTCTCAGAATACCCAGCAATCATTGAATTCCAAGAAACTAAATCCGGGTTTTCCATTCTACTAAAAATCCTATATGCTGTTTGTGTACTACCAACGTTGCAGTACATGTCAAGCAGAGCATTTTGCAAATGTAAATCGAGTAACAAATTCCTAACAATTATATGGGCATGAATCAATCTCCCAGAACAATAATCCTTCAGATGACTACAGGCATTCAAAACCATACAATAGGTGAAGTGGGTGGGGGTAAAACCAGCCTTCATCATTTTAATCAAAAGCCAAACACCTTCCTTGATCTTGTTGTTCTTCAGATACCCCACAATGAGAGAATTCCAAGCAACAACATCTCTATCAACCATATCCCGGAAAACCAATTCAGCAGAACTCAAATCCCCGCAATTCGAGTACATATTAAGCAAAGAAGTTTGGACACAAATATCATCCAAACCCAACTTGAAGCCCTTGGCGTGAAGTGATGATCCAAACCACCAATGTTCAAGCAAGGAAGATGCTTGCAGCAAGCTAGTAAAAGTCATGCTGGAAGGTCTAAGACCCTTAGTTTCCATCTGGGTATACAATTCAAGAGCGGAAATAGCGTGGTACGATGATGCTCGAGAATAGGCTGCAAGGAGTGCGTTGTAAGAAACAAGAGTTCTGTGAGGCATTTTGTCGAACACGATATGAGAGTCTCTGAGTGAACCACAGCGTGCATACATAGAGAGAATGTTGTTGAAAACAAACGGAGATTGGGAGTTGAAGGCAGTGGCAGTGGTTAATACGAGGGCGTGGAGTTGACGCGCCTCTCGCAGTGTGGTCAGAGTGATGCATTTTTGTAGCAGCGATAGAACATGACCCTCTGCTACACAAAAACATGCTTCTTTCATGTAATTGTTGCACACGTAAATCTCAACCAGTAGCGCCAAACAAAAACAGTGATGCTGAATATTGAATAGTGTTACTCTGATTCTTGCTGAATATGAAAAAAGAACTAAAATCACTGAATATTTATAAGACTCCCCCAAGCATTACAAATTACAATCTTTCGTTGGTTTCAGTTTTTATCTTAGAGAAGGGCTAAAAGACACATGCTTTACAATTCCCCCTTTAAAGAAAAAGAATTTATAGGGTATCCTCTATAAATGAAAGGTATCGATTGATAATGTGTCACTTATATGTTATTATTTTAAATTTAAGTCATTTGAGAAATTCTATAGTACCTATCTCATTTGAGAGGGTATTGGTACAATTTTTTATATTTTATATTTTAATAATTTATTTAAATAATATTTATGATATTTTATTCTTTCAATTTTTAAATTATTTAGTCATTTTATTTTTATTTTATATATTCTAATTTATTTTGTAATAATATTATTATATATTTAAATAATTTAATTTTAATAATTTTTTAAGTATATTTTTATCTTTTCACTTAAAATTTTTTAATTTCTATATTTTAATTTTAATAATTTTTTAAGTATATTTTTTTGTCTTTTTATCTTAAATTTTTGAATTTCTATATTGTAATTTTAATAATTTTTTATTTCTACTATTTATTAATTTTTTTCTTTTTTTCTAATATTTTATAATATTATTGAAATCTTATAATTTTAATCTCTATAATTTTATCTTACTTTTTATTTTATAAGTATAATTTAGATTATTTATTTTATAATTAAATTAATTTTTTTTAAATCTTTTATGAGTTTACATAGAAAAATATATTGAAACCCCTCGATCTTTGAGGGTACCGTAACAACTCCCTTAAAGAAATTGCAAAATTTTGTAAGAATCTGGCTCTTTACTTGATTCTAGGGATGGCAACGGGGCGGGTTTGGTACGAGTTTCATGATACCCGTCTGTCCTCGTCCCCGCGAGTTCAACCCATCTCTGTCCCCGTCCCCATACCCGTCGGGTATAGATTTTCATTCTCATCCCCGTCCCCATCGGGTATCGGGTATACCCGTACTCGTCAAAATTTTTATTTTTTATTTTTTGTAAAAAAATAATATTTTTAATTTTTTTATATTATATTATAATTATAATTAAGTTATTTCTTTATCTCATATTATAATAAGTAATCACACATAAAAAAATATTAAATTTTTTTAATATAATTAAATTGAAAGTGAGTATTAAATTAAAAATGAGAACGGGGACGGGTACGGGTACGTGTACGTGTACGGGACGGGTAAGTACATACATGTACTCGTACCCGATTTAATATATCGGGTTTTACCCGTACCCATACCCGTACCCGGTCAAGCCGGGTATTCCCCGTCAAAGTCGGGACGGGTTCAGGTATTACCCGCAGGTACGGGTATATTTGTCATCCCTACTTGATTCAGTCATTTATAATTTATCCTCTTTTTTTGTAAAATTTAACTAATAATTAAAAATTATTATAAAAAAGTGTTAAAAAATATATCAATAGCAATTTTTCTTTCTTTATTTATTTAATTGTATAACTTTTAATAAATTTTAGTAACTAATATTAACGTAGATAAAACAAAAAAAGAGATATTCATATTTAAAATAATTATAGTTAGATATTAGTATGGGTGAAAATCGATGCCACCAACTCATATTTTCTCTTAAATGATTCGAATTTATTTCTCAAATATATGGTAACTTGGTTAGGAATGATTTAAATTTGAAATATGAAATTGTGTTATTATGGTTCATAAATTAAAATTTAAAACTTGGATACGTGGTATTTATCGTTGTCAATAATTTTTATTTTTAATATATGAAATATTTAAAATTATATTAATTATACTTTTTAATAAAAAAATCGATTTAATAAGCTACCTCCCAAGTTAAACATTAAACCATGAAACAATTATAGATTAAGTCAATTTTTATAACATTAATTATAATTTAGTACTCTTTCATACCTGTTTACTGGCAGTGATTTTAAGTAACTAGTAGTATTTTTTTTAAAAAATTTTATAGATTTCAACTTGATTTTGCCAATTTCTTTTTTAAATCGTGTAATATATCAAGCAGTATATTGGATTGAAATTTTTAACGATTTTAAAATATTTTTTATAATAATTTTTTTTAATATTTAATTAACTTTTTTAATATAAAAAAATCATGTCATATTCAAATAATTAAGATTTTATTAAAAATATATCAAAATGTGATGGTATTTAATTAAGATAATCAAAATTTTTCTAGGAGTACGTCAAAATATAGTATTATTTAATTAAGACTTTTTTCTCTTAAAATTTTTTTTTGGTATTAAAAAACATTGAAATTTTAATATATTATCTTAAATGATGAATTTTATGAGATTTTTTTTAATATAATCTTCATACAATTCACTTATTTAACAAACTTACAATTTTTTTTTTGAGATTTTTGTAAGATTTTTTTCTTGTTCATTTCTCATCATTTTTTGCTTCCTCACTTTTTTTCTCTCTTTTTTTCCTCTATGACTCTCAAGTTTTCTTTTTCTCTATTTCTTGTGCTCTCTCTCTCTTCTCGATCTAATTTTTTTTCTCTCTCTCTTTCTCCCTTCTATCCCTCTCTTCTCACATTCTCTTTTCTTTTTGTTCATCTCTCCCATTTATTTGTTCTTCTTTCTCTCTCTATTTTTTTCTCCTACCTTTTTTATCTACCAATATTTTTTTGATACATTTTTATCTATTAATATTGATGTATAATTTATCAACTAGATAACTATGAACCATCCTACCAACCTTCATCACCTTAGGAATGTAGTCCACTATCTAATCCTTTCTTAAGTTTAAAAATTCCCATTGAAAAACGAAGTCATAAAAAGAGAATTACATTCAACTGCAAAAGGAGTTCTAATTCAATTAGCACCAACAATTATGTCAAAGTTCTAAATACTCTTTATTGGCATTGAAACTATTGTCAATTTTGAAAAAATATCTAACACATAGGAGAGAAGAGAAAAAGACAAAAAAGAGAGAAAAATAATGTTATTTGGGACACTATAAAAGAGATTCCAAATTTGGATGACAAAATTTATTTTATGATTACTGATTTGCTTGATACTAAAGTCAAAAAAAGACATTTTCTTTAATAATTCATTAGAAGGATGTTCATCTTAGATAAATTTCAAGTTTGGATGATTAATACTTTGTTGAATTACATTTTTTTGGTACCATTTTGATTATATTTTGGTTGAAGTATCTGATTTATATTTTAGTGGAGTTATAGTAGTTGAATTTTAATAATATATAAAAGGAATTTGAATTGCATCGGAGCTACTAACGATATTCATATTCTAACAATGGTGAGGGGACAAAATGTAAGCAATTATTGTAATTGTCATGGAAAAATATCATAAAATGTATTAATAGCTTGTAACTTTGATTTGAAATTCATGTATGTTCTTAGTGAGTGAGAGGATTCAACTTATGATTTTAAGTTATTAAGTGATGTTTTGACAAGGAGAAATGGACTTAAAGTACCCCAAGGTAGATTTTTTTTTAATAATAAATATTTTTTTAAAAAAATTTTCATACTAATTTTATATGTATTGTACATGCAATTAGGTAAATATTTTATAGCAAAATGTTGGTTTTTTAGTAGGTGTCAATTTTTAGCTCCATTTTGAAAAAGTTTACAGACGGTGGAAATGATTTTCTAAAAGAAAATGAAGTGTTTAATTTATGTCATGTGTCCTTAAAAAATCTAATAGAAAGAATAATTGATATTTTAAAATCACACTTTATAATTTTTAATTTAGTGCTTACATAAGTTGAACTTGTATTAACGTTTGTAACATTACATAACTTTTTTCGCAAAAAATGCCATTTTGATAAATTTTCAATTAAATCAATGATGAATCTTCATTTTTAGTACTACTAGTTTATAAAGATCATAATTTTGAACACATTATTCGGACCCAAGAATGTAAAAGAAAATATGTTAATACATGAATGACTAATATAACTTTAAATATGTGAAAAAACATTAATTTAAAAGATAGTAAAGTCGATCATTTATTAAAAAAAAAAAATTTATTTGTCAAACAATAAATTTTTTTTTTTATTTTTTTTTTATTATTTATGTTATATATATGTTTTTAATTCTTATAGCATCGAATACGTTTTACAAATTCATATTTTCTTATAAAATCTATAAAATCCTTTAAAATTTTAAGATATAAATATATCAAAATTTGTTAAAATTTAAATTATAAAATTTTGATTAAAATTCATATTTTAAAATTTTTTTAATTTTTTTTAAAAAATATGATAACTTTTAAATTTTTTTTTAAAATTTACAATACTTTTTATATTAAAATAATCTTTCAAAATTTAAATACAATTTATCTCCGTAATATTAACCTTAAGTCAATGATCAAAAGTTACAATATTTAATAAACAAAAGGTTCGAAATTAGTTTGGCTAAAACAATGCCCACATGTTATATTGTATTGTATTATATTAAATACTGTCTTAAGTCCTAACCAAATAAAAACTCAAATTAATCTCTCCTTAAATATAACCTTAGTCACAGCAGACAAGTCTTTGGGGAGACAAGAATTTAATGGACAAAGTCACAAAGTACATGAAAACATATAGAAGATAATTTTTCATCTTTTAAAAATTATTATGGGTAACAGCACAGTTTTGGGGACTAATCTTGAAATGAATCTGCTGAAAATAACCATTATAAAATTACAACTTAGGAAGGTGTACCTAAGCGTAATTATGAGAGATATCGAGGAGAGATAAAGTCAGTTCCTGGGGTTTGCTAAGTAAACCCATATGATCTGCATCTTTGATCTCACGCACCACATTAATCCCAGCATTTTGGATCATCCATTGCTGAAACTCCTTTGGAATTGCCAAGTCCTCTTTGAAAACAACATAAGCACATGGAACAGACCCATATCCCTCTTTCGAGAAATTCTCGGCCTTGGATAGATCTTCAGGAAAGAGTGACCCTTTTCTTACTAAACTCTTCATCAATTCCAGATCCTGCATAATCCAACCCAAACACACTCTCATTTGTATAAAAGATTTGTCTAAATAACATTTTGCAATACAAAATCCAAGCCAAATTTAAACATTACATTAACTAAAAATAAGATTTTAAAAGAAGTAATGAAAGAAAATCTTCTACAATTTGAAAAACTTATTTTATATTTTATTTTATATTTTTCTTTCTAAGAAATTTAAAAAAAAAAAAAAAAAAAAAAACCTTATCCGAGATAGTACCTCAGTGGAGCAGAGTTGATAGAACTTAGACGACAAGAACTTGAAGCCAAGAAGCAATGTTGTTTTGCTTTCACTGAAGGAAACCTCAGAGTCCATCCACCCAGTTATTGGGTATCTCTCAATGTACTGTCCATTTCAAAATGACGAGCCTTAGAAACAATTAAATGTATCATTCATGTTTGGTATGACCCAAAGGTTTCTCATCATTTCATACAATTCTGAATGTTGAAAAATAAAAATGATAATTATAAATTTTGTTTTTAGTAAAAGCATACCTCTTCCAAGACATAGGATGGTTTGTGCTGGGTATCAGGAGCAAAGGCTGCTACGAAAATTCCAAGAGATACTTTGTCTGGAAATTTGTCCATAGCAAGGGCTGTGGTGATCCCTCCAAAGCTATGCCCCACAAGGACAACTTTTTCATTTGGAGCAAGCGATGCAAAGAAATCCAACAAGGGCTTGGAATAGTGAGAAAAAGTGTGGACTTGTTCAATTTGGTGTGTGTCAATGCCAGAAGCTGCAAGGTCAAGGGTTGTGACTTTGTGGCCAGCGGATTCCAACAGTGGCTTAAGCTTGTACCATGTCCAACCACCGTGGCAAACACCATGCACCAGCACAAAGTGTTTTTCCTCTCTTGCCTTCTCACTCATTATCTCTAACTTTCTTGCGCTTTGCTCCGTCTTCGCTATATATCCAATATTACTATAATTGTTTTTTTATACTAATATATAATACAAAATATATTTACATCAAAATAAACTAATCATATTTTTTAAAGACTTAATATTACAAATATCAATCATGTAATCCTCGTAGGTCATAGCTTCTCCGACCTAAACTCTGTCACTGTCATCAAGGACTTCCGTTTTTTTTATTGTCATTTAAAATTATAGCAAAAATTAAGAAAATAATTGATATTTTAATTTTTTAAAATATTTATTACTTATTTTTTTATTATAACTTTTAGATAATTAAAGAATAAATAAATAAATTAGTAAATGAATAGATATTGTTCAGTTAATATACATTAATTATTAAAGATAAAAAAAAATAACAACTCATTAATTTTAGAAAAATAATATAAAAAAAAAATAATAATAAAATATTAAAATGATTATGAAAAAAAAAGAAGAAAAAGAGTATTAATTTACTCCCATTTTTTTAAGGTAATCCAACTTTGTAGGTCTCTTTGACCAACTGAGTAGGGAGAACTCGACAAGTGAAGCTATGTGATCCCACACTCTTAGTGCATTCCATTTGTAACGTGAAAATTCACGTTTACTTGAATAAAAAAACTCTTGCTTCTACGTAAATATAACATTGGACGTGGAAAGAGAATGGATAATCTGCGTTTCAAAATGAAATCCAAACATGCACTTAAAGAGGCGCGTTAAACCATGAGCAGAGGGCCCAAAACTGGGGATGTGTTGAAATCAGAGGGCATCAAGTTTTATATGTAGTATATTAGCCTGATTCAGATTTCTATGACAAGTGATATGTGGTGAAAATGGTTACTGAGATTGCATTCAATGTTAGCGAAGATCATGGGGTGAGATCTATTGGAAAATTTACTGTTATTAAATAAAAATAAAACAAAAAAGACAGTTATTTTAAAATGCATCTTTCTCATTAATTTTTTTTTTAATAAAGTGGAGTAGTTAAAAGGTGAGTGATTTATAATTTATAAAGAAATAGTTTAAAGATAAAATTAGAATTAAAATATGTATAAAAAATTTTTATCATCTTTATTATAATTATAAATTATTATTATTATGAAAAAAAAATCATTATTTCATATATTTTTTTATAGTCTCACTTTAGAATTATACATTTCTCTCTCATTTTTAGAGAAATAGTGTAATTGTAATTCATTTAATCAAATATGAAATATTCAAAGAATTATTTTTTAATGTTTGGTTTATATTCATGAATTTTTATCCTTTTCATATTCTGATTTTCAAGGAATGTCCATTTTTTATTCTTTTTTTTTTTTTTTAAACATCTTCATTATTATTGAATTGTATTATAAAAATTAGTGATGGGGATAAAATGTAACACAAGATAGAGAAGCAAAAATTGATGTTTTAAAAATGAGAGAGAAAATACTTTTAAATATTTAAAGGGAAGAAAAAGATGAATAACTCTGTAGACAAAATTCCACCTTGAAAGTGTGTCATTTTATTTTGTCTTCAATTTACGCTTTTTATGGGATTTATTTTGCTCGCTGGATACGTTAGATGTCTTTTGCAGCTGGAATTTGTCTTCGGTTAGCTCTCAACAACAAACATGCAGAGCATTAGATTAATCTGTGTACTACATAAATTTGTGTAAACATGCCTTTTGGTCTCTCTATTACTGAATTTAACTTTATTTTGTGAAGTTCCATAACAATCAAAAAAATATTGGAATCTGCTTTGGACCCAAAGATTGTGTTTGATGGGAATAGCAACAATCATCAAATGGAACTATAATATTTGGGCCTCAATACACCCGAGGCATGTTTATAAATTATTATCATTTCTAAACTTCTCTAACCATGACATTTGATGGCATGTGCAAATGAACTATGACTTAACCTTGACAATTTCACTGGTTAGACCCGCTCGCATCGCCATCTATGATTCTATGGTGATGAAGAACTGGTGTGGCACAAAACACAAAGTGTTAAAGCATGATTATTTTCAACTATGTTCAAACCACGAGCTTTTCTCTTACCTTCAAGAGATTGTCAACACTAGGCCTGATCAAAATTTTCGACGCCCCTCGAAATCGAATTAACCCGCATTCAAAAATGTGTTAAGGATGAGTTGGGTTTTCAACGATTTATATAAATGGATCTCACACGAATTATCCTTTCTACTTCATCGGGCTTAGTCTTTTTCATGGGATCTCGTTTCATTCTCTTTTGTATCAAAATTTAAGTTAAAAAGTTACAAATTATATATATATACTGATAAATGGATTAATATTTCTCTCTTTGACTTTCTCCCTGAATTTGTTTGAAAATTCCTCTCATTGATTATGTTGGACCAAAGTGTGATACTAGTCTAAATTATTGTCCAATTTGAGATCATTTAAAATATGACGACCATTATACAATGACATATTATATAATGACTTTAGTTAGTCTAAAAGAAAGTGCTAGGTCGATTATTTATTATCATTAATATTATTTAATTGTTCTATCTACCTCTTAATTACATTATTTATTATATTTATTAATGATAGAGAAAAACACAAAAAAATAAATATAATTATACATATATATCCGTCTCAAACTATATAAAATTGTCATGTCATAAATTTTTTAATCAAAATGATGAGGTAAATTTAAATTACAGTTTCTCTCCATTTCTTACTCTACTTATACAATTAATATTTAATTATTATATTCAATTACAAACTTAAACAAAACTATATATCCGCAAATATTATAATAAAGAAACAAAACAAAACCAAGTAATCTAGTTGTTAAATTTTAAATGAATATTTTTATTACATTTAATAACATTATATAGTTGCACTACTTTATATTATATTTTAAAACCGATCTCTCTCTCTCTCTCTTTTACTTTTTTATTAAACTGTTTTAATAAAAATGATTCAAACACAAATTCTAAATACATTTTCAATAAATTAAAAATTAAAGTAATATATAAAAAAATTGCGAGATAAACTAACGTGTTCATGAATAAGAAGATTCTCATAACTCAACTTTTACAAATGAATGATTGTGAGTCGTAGTTAATTAACACGTAACTCATTTATATAATGGAATTTCATATATAAAATTTCACTCTGGTGCCTTGTTCTAGCCAAATTGATGATTTCTACTGTGATTTTGAATTAGTACAATTAATTTACTTCCAGTTTTTCACCATTAACATTTAACCAGATTTTATTTTTTGTTGGTGAATAACATTTAACAAGCCATTTATTTCTCTATATGACTTGACACAGGGCCGGGCACATGAACCTATATAGGCCCAGTCTACAGAGACAGGACAGCTCTTGGTGTAAATGGGCTAGCTATTTCTTCTATAAAATGTGAGTTTTTAATAAATATAACTATTAAAATATATGATACTATTTTAATATTATATAAATTATTTTTTATGGTTATTTTATTTCATAATGTAATTTCATTTATATTTTAAAATTGTTATATATTACGAATAAGGTTGATGATGAAGTATTAGCTAGTTTTCAAGTTACACAATGTTGTAAAAATCTTGTCTATTTAAAAAGAATTTTCCTTTTAATTAATAACTTAGTGAAATTTAATTTCAGATAGATAAATATTTTTTTTTTAAATTTTTATTCTTAAATTAAGTAGGTCTCCATCCCTTGTGTGAGTACGACATATATGTTCATCCAATGTGTACGATATTTTATAATTTAAAATTTTATAAAAAAAATAGTTTTACAATAAAAAGCATCCAAAATTATAATATGATTCAATTAATAATTGAAATTTATCTTATTTTACACACAAGAAGATGTTAAAATAAATTATTTATTAATGTAATTATTTGTATTTTTTTTTACATATTATTTATATAAATCATCAACTAAAGTGGTCTAACTCAATTGGTTGAGGAATTAGTATAAACTCCTTGGTACCAAATTCAAATTTTATTCATAAAAAAACATCTTGAAAAAATTAATAATAATAAAATTCATAAATAATTTACGTAAGAAATGAAACTTTTCTTTACATATACAAGTTAGTTATTTTAAATTTAATTCTTATAAAATAATTTAATTATCATATTAAAATTAATTATTTCTCAAAAATGCATTGTGAATTATAACCATATGTTTTTGATTAATTAGCTAATAAAGTTATTTCGCACAAAAAAAAATATTTATGGAAGAAAACACTTATATGTCCAAGAAAATTCTATTAATCAAATATAAGAATCTTCTGGTAAATATGTGTTAAAAATATATATAATATTTATGATTAATCAAACATATTTTAATTATTTTTCAAGAATCACACCTAAAATTCACAATTTTCAGTAGGCACAATTCTCAGGTATAAAAAGCATTTTTTCTGGCAATTAATATTCTCTAATATTAATAATTTTTCTTTGAAAATAGATGCAATTTTACATACATAAACGGTTAATTTAAATTGGCTGCTACCAAAAAATTCAGTGAAGTTACAGCTAGGGGTGGATAGGATTTTTAACTTTCTATAATTAATTAAAATAGCGCGACTGAGAAAGAAGTAATAACAACACTGGATGATGCACATCCTATTATACCTCAACATGGAATATATACAACCTTCTGAAAATGCCCATATATATAGGATGCTGTGTTGTCATGACGCTGGAAATTGAGGTTTGTGGGAAGGTTTGAAGCTCTGGCGGCATTTCATTTCATATTGATGCATTACATTTTCATGCAAGCTTCAATTTCATGAAAATAGCCAAAGAACATTTGGATAAGCTTGTGGAAAATGTTCCCGTATTTGTTTTCCCTTTCTAGAGACTGTTCACACTTTCCTTTAAAGCTACATCAACCAAATTATATTATATATGATAGATATTAGTTTGTAGTCCAATGTGCTGGGAGATAGAGGAATCTGACATGCACATGCTTACAGTGTTCTAATTAAGGCTGTTGTCTTGTGCTTTCTTTTTCCTTTATCTCTTTCTTCCACCTTTATCTACGGACAGGTCATGTTTGAATGTTGTAA